TTTTTCTGATTTGAGCGTTCCTTCATTGTTCCTTTTTTGAATAATTTTCTGTTGAGATAAAAATAGCAATCGCCTTATTTTTTTATCTGCAGACTGTCGTGTATTTTCAGCCACTGTCATTCCCTTCCTTTTGCATAATACAGATTTCTCCATATGTCCTATGGAGTGAAAGGCATTTCCAATCTGGGCCACAGGCTGGTAGCCAGGTACCCACAGTCAAAACTGCATCTGGTTTGTCTTCTCAGCACTGTGGCCTTGGTCTCCCCTTCCTGCCCTTCCTCCTCCATCTCCCAGTAGTTCTCTGGAGTCATCTTCTCCACATTTTTTTTTTTTTATGGTACCGGGGGATCGAACTCGGGTCCTTGCGCTTGCGAGGCAGGCGGTGGAACCACTGAGCTAAATCTCCGGCCCTCCACATTTCTTATAATCTTACAAAACTGGGCCATGGGAAAGAATGGAAGTGTGAGGAAGACAGCAGTTGTACTGGTTCAGTATTTTCATTTTATTGCAACAGGAGGAGTTGTGCTGAAGAAAAGGCTTGATTCGTGATGAGATACAGAGATTTGGGGTGTTTGTTTTGTTTTGGCCAAAAAAATCCATAGTGAGATGGTCAAAAGGGGTTGCAAAGATTGTGCAGTCGAAGGCTGTAATGGTTAAGCTCATTGTGTGAAGTTTCTACAGAGAAAAGTGTTCCTGGACTTTAGAATACTCTCATGCAAAGTCAGTGATTGGGGTTATTTTGACATGTATTAACTGCTTTAAAAAGCTATACTAATGAAAGACATTTTCAGGGTGTCAGTGTCAGCCCTGTGTATGTCTGAGCAGGGTCTGCTTGGGGGCCACTGGCACCTAATGACGGCAGTGTGGGCTGGGAGGGATACCTGGTCACACTTCTAAATCTGCTTTTGCTTTGCTGTCCAAGTCTAAACATACACGTTCTTTTACTAAGAGATAATCTTTATCTATAGAAATGTATTTTTAAAACACTTTACACAGCAATTTTGTATCCACTTAAACTAATCTTTGTATTCAATAAAGCACTATTGCTTAAAAAAAAAAAGATTGATGACACAGATCCTACTCCGAGTCCCTGGGTCATCACCATAGTCACAGACACAGAAGCCACTCAAAGTCTCCTGAAAGGTCAAAGAAAAGCCCTAACAAGAGTCGGAGAAGGAATGAGTAATGAATTCAGTTTGGTTTCAGTCCAAATGGCCTCCTGTGGATATGAGGGTATCTGTGTGGGAAGATTAAGAGCTGCTCTCCTGGCAGCTGTAGTATTTTAGTTTTTTCTTACTGAGTTTCTTTTCTTTCTTTTTTTTAATGAAGAGGTACTGAGTTTTGTATCTCTTTTTTTCTGCTGTAAACATCTTTGAAGGATGATGTTTCCTAGGGTCAGTTTTTGTGTGTGTGTTTTTTTTGGTACCGGGAATCGAACTCGGTTCCTTCCACTTGCACAGCAGGTGGTGAAACCACTGAGCTAAATCCCCGGCCCCTAAGGTCAGTTTTTGAACCAATGAACTACAACTATATTCAAATTTATGAAGGTAGAAAGGATCTGAGAATAGGGGATGTGAGTGAGAAAAGACGTGGCCATATTGGTGACCTTTTGCCTTTTTGTTATTAAACCTGAGACACTATTTGTCGAAAAAAATACACACAAACACAAAGAAAGGGAGATAAGAAATGAAACAAATGTGAAAAAATGTTAACACATGGTGAATCCATGTGAAGGATAAACAGGCTCATTGCACTTACAACTCTTCTGTAGATCAGAAATTTTATAGAGTAAACTCTGGGGTAATGGGTGACAGTATGGGCCATTCTACCCTATATTAAAATGGAGAGAAAGGTCACCGATTTCTAGAGAACATAACTTGCCAAAACTGACACAAGATGGAATAATGAAAAAAAAAAAAGGTGAAATAATGAATCTGAGTCATTCCACAATCATAACAGCTATTTATCAAGAGTCAAAATGATTTACTCTATGAATTGATAACTTCAGTTTCCTTGTATTAAACATGTTCTATGAGCTAGTATGTGTGGTCTGTTTTGGAGAACGACCTGTGTGCAGCTGAGAAGAATGAGTATTCTGATTTTGTGGGGTGGTGTAGGGAACAGGGGAAGGGGACGTTACCAGAACCTCTGCAGTGAGTCCTGGTCTCCTGTGAGCCACGGCAGCACACGGCGAATGACAGGAAAGGTAGAAAAATGAGACTGAGAAGAAGCTGAGCTTTGGGTCTGATCAGTGCTGCTCTGGGCAGCAAAGACAAGAAGCCCTAGCTTGCAGCACCTTTTATTTAGTACATCCA